ATTGCTCCTTGGGATCATTTTCCTTGTTTGTACTTACAATGTATAAATCTAGTAGAATGCTGTCAGTTTCAGCGTGCTCCTAATGCCTCGATTAATGTGGATGAAATGCGTGCACATTACCTATCTGAGGAGAATTCCCCGACAAGTAGCTACACTGGGTCCCCTTCGTCAACCTCTCCGCTCCCTAGGTTTGCTGTACCATCATCATCAGTTTCGGCATCAAACTTTGGATCAACTGACTCGTCTCCGCCTATGTCATTTGGACAGCAACTTCCATCATCTCCAACAAAGGGGTTATTGCATCATTAGCAGAGGGGCTTGCAAGTTCTAAACCGAATTTTTTGCAGATTACCGCAGGCACAATCACCGTTGAGTCCAAATTCGTATTTGAGCGAAGACCGTGATGAACACGAAATGATGGATACTAGTGATGACCGTAATCATACATTCACCTCCAATTTCCCACGTCATTCTGGAGCCGATTGTAAGAATCATTTATTCTCAAATGTGGTTGTTCTGCCTTGCAGTTTCACACCATTCAATTTTTATAGTGGTACAAGAGCTCGTTGAATATTGCGAGCCAGAGTGTTGGATGTCAATAACGTATTACGAAGAAGGCAAGCGAGTTGGAGATCCCTTCAATGTGCGGTCTCATTACCTACTTGTGGATGGTTATCCCTCGCCAAGTTCTGAAGAGAGGTAGTCTCTATTACAATTATACACTACTAAAGGTTTCAGAGTATAGACATACTTTAAGATTTTGCCTTGGTTACTTTGATGTCGAGAATCGTCCTGTACCCGTAATAGATGCACGTCGACAAGTTGGCCGAGGAGCGAGGTTCTATTATATCGGTGGAGAGGTAATGTGATTTTTCATTCTTTTGCTCTTTTTCCTCTTACCTTTTATCTTATGCTACAATTTATGCCCAATTTTTCTGTGAGACGTGAAGTCTCCTTAATGTCATAATTTTAGGTATACTGCGAGTGTCTCTCTGACGCGGCTGTTTTTGTCCAATCTCCTAACTGCAATCAACGCCACGGCTGGCATCCAACAACTGTTTGTAAGGTGTGTTTAGAAGGCATATGACAACGGTACCATAATGATAAGTGCATAGCAGTGCTTAGGCTTCGCGACGACGCGGGTCTACGCGCTCTAACGCGTGTGTACGCCCTATAACGCGTCTGTGCGCTACAGTCGTAACAGCGCTAAAACGCTATAGCCGGATACAGAAATCGATCGGTGCTGGCTGTTCGTGTAGAAAGACAAACTGCCGGCGCCGATCGATTCCCGTCTGCGGCTGCTTTCGCTCCTATAGGATTAACACGTTCACAGCGGCGCCGTTTCGCCAAAAACTTCCGTTTGTCGAGCTTCGCGTTCGCGGCGGGCGACACTCAGGCAATCGTCCCGTTTATGGTTAAGCGCACTCGCAACGAATACAACTTCGCCAAAAACCACGTAATTCGTTTTTTTTTGTCCATTCTTTTTACACTTTTTCCCCCTCTGCAAGGTTTATCTCATTTCTGGTGAAAGAACCAGGTATCTTGCCCCTTTTAAGTTGAGTAAACAAGAGTAAACACGATTTGTTTCTCTTGTAAACCAATACTGCCTCTCCTGCTTCAAAAAAATGCACAAGAAATGTTTTAGTATTACTTCTATGCCATTTATTCTATTATTTGTATATAACTGTCAGTGAAATGAGGAAAAAAATCATAAAAAAAACAAGAGAAGAGGCGCGTGGACTCCTGAGAGTACTCGATTGGTCTTAAGAAAAAAGTTTTCGCCGGTGTTTTTTTTTGCAGTACACGCTTATTCTAATGTGTGGTAACACTTCTCTATTGTTTCTTTCAGTATATGCATGCAATTACTATTCAAAAGAAAAAAAAGAGAAAACGGGCAAAGAAGCGCGTGTACTCCTGAAAAAGCCCGATTCGCCTTGGGCGGAAAGTTTTTGGAATATTTTTTCGGGTGTACACGCCTTTAATGTGTCTATACTATTTCTCTATTGTTTGATTAATTGTTTATATTCCGATTCTCTAGCTGAGAAATGAAAAAAAAATTCAAAAAACGATCGCGAATAGGGCTGGTGTATTCCGGGAGTACACGATTCGCCGAAAGCGGAGTGTTTTCGTGTACTCTCGGGAGTAAACGCCGCGAACGTGTTAAGCACCGTTGAAATGGTAGCGTATCGAAGCGCTATACAGCGCGTTACAGAGCTTCATAGGGAAGATTAAACATTGCGTAATCCTTAAAAACAATTACCCTAAAATCCCATAGATAAGAGCGGTTTGATTTACCGGTGAAAAATGAATTGGAATGAAATTGAAATTGAATGCAGTCACCCCTCTAACTTGATGGATGGATAAATAAAAATCGGAGAAGAAGTTTAGAAGAAGCTCCGCCCCTCAACTCTAAACCCCGCCCACTTAATAAACAATTCATATAGAAAAATAGCGATTTTAACGGAATTTCTGCCGGAATCTCTCTAGAAATGCCGGAATTTGATCTCTGGATAGAACTTGAAGAGCCCATTCGATCAGTAAAATTCCATAGATAAGAGCGGTTTAATTTACCGGTAAAAAATGATTTTGAAAAAACATTTTTAAAATTTTATTTCACAACAATTCATTTCAAAACACATTTCACAACAAAACATTTCACAATATCAACAACAGGGACTCCAACATATACATAAGACTAAACTTTTCCAATTTCTACTTCGTCAAAATCGTTTTTGAGATTTTCCAAATCGATAATTGACGGCGTCTAGCTTGAAAGCTGCTGTATACGATTTACGACGTTTCATAGCAGGTGATACAGGATAGAAAGTATAGAAAACAGTAAGAATAAAGGTAGAGTTGTAGGCTATTATTGCGATAATCATGAGCACACAACGCCAAAAAAAACGTATACAAACGTCAATTTTCATTTTCTAGCACAAACCGCTCTTATCTATGGACCGCTCTTATCTATGGGATTTTAGGGTAAGTTAAAGTTGTGATATTTTTTCAAACCATAAAAGTGGGCTTCGTTTGGCCGAGCGGCTCCAGAAAAACGCCAAAAAAGGAGCGAGAAGCGTCTATGTACCTCCATATGAAGAACGTTAAGCGCCATTCTGGCGCCAGATTGCGTCGACGTCGAAAATAAGAGTCAAAATCGTAATCAGGACCATCGATTACCCTCATGGACGAACTTCCAGCCAAAAAAATTTTTTTCCATTTTTTGGTCCACCAAAACCCAAAAAATCGAAAAAAAATTGGTCGGCAGTGGTGACCGGAGTATCCCATCTTCGTAAAGACGATGATGGAACGACGACGTAGCAGGCCGCCGGGCAGGACAGCAAACCTGGTGGAATGCCTCCCTTTCCTTCCTCTTTGCATGTAATTTCATCGGCATTGTTACTTTTATCTTTGGATATTAATAAATAGGGGTCCCTATGGCGAGGCACTGTAGACTTCTATAGAATGACTGTCGAGCACAACCCTACTCACACATCCAAAAAAGTCGGAAAAAAAATTTTTGGCCGAAAGATTGTTCACAGGGGTAATCCATAGCCCGATCGATTTTTCACAACTATTTTCGGCGCGAACGTTAATTTGGCGCCGGATATCCCTTAGCAGCGTTTCATACATGTATTGCCAGAAATGCGCGAACACGGAATGTGCCCAGAACTGCGGAATTGCAGACGTCCCTTGTGGAATTGCAGACGCGCGAACTTTGCAGAAAAAGAAAATGTGTCTATCGATTTTCAAAAACCGTGGAATATGCAGAAGTGCGGAATTTGCAGAAATGCCGATGGACCGATCGATCCCTATCGCTTCTTTGTCCGCAATTTCTGCATGTCGGCAAATTCCGCGGAATTTGCCGTCGTGCGGAATCTGCAGAATCTGCAGATTCTGCACGACGGCAAATTCCGCACGACGGCAGGGAAGAACCAATCGATCCCTATCAATTCTTTGTCCGCAATTTCTGCATGTCGGCAAATTCCGCGGAATTTGAAGAAATGCAGTTTTCAGATCGATACGTATATATTTCCTTTCTGCAAATTCCGCAGTTCTGCATATTCCGCATTTCTGCATCATGTATGAACGCGGCCTTACTTGTGTGTAGCAAAGCATTTCATTGGGAGAAACATGTCACTCCATATTAGCGATAAATGGCACCATAACTATAAGGAGTTCCATATTGGTGATTCGGGCATGGTCTGACCTATAAAGGTCACCTTCAACTAAGGTCTTGCTTGATGGTATGTAAAAGCGAAAACAGCAAAACATACAAAATGCGAAAACCCGCACGCCGAGAGGGGTCGAACCATCAACCCAAGCTCAACTGTCCGCTTGAGAATCCTTCACGCTATCCACTAGGCCATCCGATCGTTGTTGCTGAACATTCCTCCGATCGTTGAAGAAACCATTCCATGAAGCCGTTCACGCTTGATTACGTGCCACAAGTAAGACCCCATACCCCGACTACTTTTCTCTTCGATTCCGATAGTACCTTTATAGGGTCCCTCCATTCAGCAACTGGTCATGAGTTCAAGGCTGGTTTAAACGTCGTAGAGGCTTCAAAAACGATCAGACTTCCAGTTTTCATTTTCGCGTCCTTTTTGGCATTGCAGGCCGTATCCAAACGAAGCTCATTTTTATGGTTCATGGGCAAGGCCCTACAAAGTGCAGTAAACCGTTCCAAAAAAGCGGGGCACGTCCTGAACGTCCTCCCTTGTCAGCAACGTCCAGCAACGTTCGGTGCACGCTCCGCCCATTGTGTGCGGAGCTTACGTTGCGAGGGCTGTGTAAATGTTAGTTCGTGTCACATCCATCCGAAGCATGATCCTTTCGTGAATCCTGAAAGTGTTTCTCACCCTCATTTCTCGGGCGGGCACACAGACAATGTGCGGTTTATATATAGAGAAGTAATCATGGTTAGAAATGACTCCTAACAGATTTATTTAGAAAAATCTGCGAAAATTACGAAAAAACACCAGTGATGTTTGTCCCATCGTGTACTTCCTTTTTTGTCACGACCAAGAATGTTTCAGATCCCACCGAACTGCAACTTGAAGATTTTCAACAATGCTGAATTCGCAGCTCAGCTTGCTGAATCAGTGGAAAAGGGTTATGAAGCGGTGTACGCTTTGACTCGCCTTTGCACTATACGAATATCGTTCGTCAAGGGATGGGGAGCTGATTATCGGAGACAAACGGTAAACTCATACTTTTTGCTCTTCGTTGTGGATAATTCATCTGTCGTTGACATCGGTTCTTTGATGAATAGTTCTCTTACTTCAACGCAGGTTAGAAATGGATAGTTAATTCATTTCAGATTGATGCTACTCCGTGCTGGATCGAGGCCCATCTCAATGGACCGTTATTGTGGATTGATAGAGTGTTGCGTAGTATGGGTGCACCAATGATGGCACACTCCTCATTCACGAGATCTGACTTTCGAGTTAGATTTACTGGCAGTATAGAACGTTCTTCTTTGTTTCGTTTCGTCATCTATTTCACAATTACCGATTCGTTTCTGTCCATAAATTACTGAATTTCGTAACGTTCTGAAGAGGGATTATCTAGTTTGACTTTTCAGTCAACGTTTTCCGGTCTTCTACGCTGTCATACCAACTGCCATATGTTTTTGGCGATGCCGGTTCACATCCTTTCCAATTCTTGTCAACTCTTGGACTATTCATTCAGTATTGTACATTTTTCATAAAGTTAACAGCATTGTAACTCACATATTTTTCACATGTTCACAATTATGTGTCGATGACTGCATGTTTTACCTACAATATCGCTAATCTGGTGGTGTAGAGCGTAAATATTATTTATTTACTGTGTACTGGTAGTATTATGGTTTAGCTGATCTACGATCGGTTTGAGCTATAGCTTACTTAGAGGTCAATCAACGCCTCAATTGAAAATAATGTCGACCCCCTTACCTCTACCTGCAGAGATGGAAACGAGTATCAGGCATCTAGCTTGAATCGCATTCAGACTTCGCGATACACGCTCGAGCGACTCGACCGCGCGATACAAACGATCGGATGACAAAGTCGCTGAATGTGTTCTTACTCACATCAATCGGGAATTAGTCATCAGCCCAAAAAGCGGAGATGATCCTGAAGACAGTCGAGTTGCATAGCCACCGTCATTCCTGTTGGGCTACTACGCGTGGAGTGCGTTCACACTTCGCGACTGGATGACCGCATTCCTACTGGGGCCGCTCACATAGTTCGCGACACTAAAGAATGTGCGCAAAGGAAAGTATAAGCATCGATCTTTCGAAGTGGGAGAATACGAGAATTGGGGGGGGGAGGGGAGGACACACGAATTCGGAGGAGTTCCCCTTATGAGTAGATAGAATTGATCCAATTCTTCTATTATTCCACTGTCCCAGTTCGTCATATCGGCCTGTATATTTGTCCCTGCCGCGTGTCCTTCTCCTATTCCCCTTCCATTCTTTCATTTCTCACTGCGAGGGTCCATGGGTATTTTCTCGAGACATTTACCAGTCCAGTAGTTGAAGGGAGACGGTAAGGAGGAGGGACAGAGAAAGCGAAGAAGGATAGAAAAGCGAAAAGGAAAGAGAAGGGCATTCTCGTGACAAGTGCCCTGAGACGAGATCGGAACAGTTTGGCCATATAACCATTTTGAAAAATACGACCCCCTAACCTAATTCCATCCTTAAATACGACCCCCTCCTCCCCATGCCACCCACCCATTTCTTAGATTTTCCCAACTTTCTACCATTTTTTCCCGAAAATTTAAAAAATTTCCAGTTCTTCAGCCAAGAGTTTTCCGTCGAGCGGGGTGGGGGTGGGCTATATATCCAAATGTGAAAAATAGTGAAACGGAAGATTTTCAGAATATTCGCCTAACCTTTGCAGCTTTTTCCGAGATTTCCCAAAAAATTTCTGGTTTTATTTGCTGCCGAGGGTAAGTGAAGGGATTCGGTCAGGACTTACCTATCATTTTCAACTATCGGTTAGTATTTGTATAGATCTTTGGCAGTCCCTCTCCCAACAACGTCCGTGAAAAAAGGGAAATCAGCTATATCAAAAAATATTTTTTTTTCTCAGACCATATACCCCCCCCGCCCCCTACCTCGCGGTCAAATACGACTCCCCTTTTGTGATCATCACAACGATGGCGTGCCCTGGATAGAAGACAGTGGCTGCCAAAGCACTGAAAAGAGCAAGAAACGTGGCGGGCCAGGATATAGGATTTTTAAAAGGGAGGGGTCACTGGGGTGAATGAGCCACTCATCACTTCGGAAAAAATTGGAATGTGTGAGGTCACAACGACCATGGAATGCCATGCAGCGAGGGAGTACAGATGTGAACAGATGATGGACACGTTCAAAGGGATCAAGCTCAAGTTGTCCGTAAACCCTCAGGTGGAAGCCCTCGATTGAACCTCTCAAGTCATCGAGCCCTTCTTTGAAGAACAAGCTAATGAAGCGTTCTCTGTTCTAGATAATAGGAGACATACTTTACTTGCCACGCAAATATTGCATGAAGTGGGTATGGGGAAAAATTTAGCAGTATAACACTAGATTCCGTTCATTTTTACTTTGGAAGAAAGGAGGTCCAGTCAGGATTCTACCTTTTATTAATCCTTGGGTAACGATTGGGGACAAGCGCGGGATGTTATAGCCCAGTTTGTCTGCGTCTCCGATGTTTCCGCTGTCGTCAGTGATGCTCGCCAAACAAAGCAAGCAATGACTCGTCGGCGCGGCCACAGCCGTCGTCGCCGCGGGTGGCGCTCGAATTCCACGCTCTGCTGCAGAATTCTCACAACTCTTTCAACGATTCTCTCTAAAAGGAATAACTTTCTCGTGTTTTCTGTGTTGAAAGAGAGTGCTTCGCCACAGATCGCAGATTAACTTCTATTTGACCCGAAAATTGTGGACTCGTTAGTTAACTCGTATTACAAAAGGGCAGATTCCCGCTTTGTAAATGCTTTCTCGTTTCTTACTAAGTACGAAGTAGATGGTAGAAACTCCTTCATTAGAATTCCTATTCTTTGCTCAACCACCGATGCCTGTTCTTTTTTGGAAGAAATCCCTTTCATTCATGGCGACAAGCCCAAGGGCCTTCATGGTTCGATTCTCCTGACGGCCATCAACTCTCGAATGATTTCGATTTTCGATCTCGCTTGATTCGACGTGGAGTTTGTACAGGGTTTCCAAGAAGAACTGGATAATCCCAGTGGTTTAATTCAAAGAGCAGTTCAAAAACTTTGCCCTGTTGATTTCTTCTTGGAACGGGGGAGGGTGAAGAAGTCTTTTGTACCCTCCGCCCAACCACATTTCTAATCATAGAATCGCTGAACTATTAAGGACCATTCGTAGTTCTTCTCTTGACACTTTCTCGCACATTTCGGCCGGCGCTGGCCCTGGGCCATTGGTGTAACACTACGTCAGATTACGGTAACCGCTATTTTGCACACATGCTTTTTAAACACTTTCCACGACAATTCCCCGTGTTTTTTTTTTGGAGCAGCATATGGTGCTGAAATGCACGAGAACGATTGCGAGTCAGGGGATAACAATGCATGTTTTCTGGGAGGGAATACGCCCGACGTGGGTGAACCACTTCTTTAGGCGCGTTCATAGCATTGCGTTCATGAAGAACTGCAGAATGCGGAAAATGCAGACGTAGCGGAAACAGCATAGACGAAGCTCATACGATTTTATGTCAGCATGGAAAGCGGATGCAATGTAAAGCAGATACGACAGAGTCGATCTGCAGAAAGCTGTTATCGATCTGAAGAAATGCAGAAATGCCGAAAGTGTGGAAAATCGATACGTATCGGTTGCTTTTCTGCACATTCCGCACTTTCGGCATTTCTGCAGATTCCGCACTTCTTCACTTTCGGCATTTCTGCAGATTCCGCATTTCTTCACTTTTGGCATTTGGCAAACGAGCAAGCTATGAACGCGGCCTTATCCCTTGAGACGAAGTAGACTGTCATTTGAACATTTCATAGAATAGGTTGTTCGGGAGGATTTCAGTCTGAGATAACTGTCATCTTGTTCTGTGTTGGGCAGAGACCGGCCACAATCGTGTCAAAATGAAAATATCTCTCCAAAAGCACAACCACCGCCACGTTTAGTTGAAGTACGCCGCCACGCCTACCACATCTCAGAGTAGTTTTCGGGGGAAAAGCCCTCTTGGTCATTCTAAAACGAAGGAAACCTGTCACAGAAGAAAGACAAAAAAAAGCGTGTGCTCTAGAATAACGATTAAGGAATGGAGATCTTCGCTTATTTGTAAGAAATTGTCAGACAAACCTTTAGTGCAAGATTATGAGAGGAGCCCAGATCTATTAATACAAATTGAAAGTGTAAAAGAGCGTTCAACTGGTGCAGTCAGTGGGAAACGGCAGCTCCCTTGCGAACTCTTTTGTCATCTTGAAAATGTCAAGAATTAACAAAAAAGCTCTTGCTCTTTAAACGTCATCGCGGATGTCCACGAGTGTAATTTTAAAATGCTTACTACACCTACGCTGTGGCCAGGAGCAGTGCAGTATGGGATGCTGGGGTGTTGCATGTGTTCTTGTCATTTCATTGATTGTTTCGAGTAGATCAGAGCTCTATGAGCCATCATTGTGTTGTTTGCTCGGTATTTTCTGGACGATTTGATGATTTCACAGATAGGCTCATGCTCCGACCAACAACGTGAAATGCCGAATACACTACCGGGTGCTCTCCATCCGAGCAACCGAAACGCCATAGATTGGTGAGTAGCGAGAATTTAGCCTTCTATACCATCTACCGTATGCTTAGTTTGAAATTTGGGTCTTGACTGATTAGTCTTTTTGCTGCTGTTTTATGGTTTCTAACTGGGATCATTAAATAATTATAACGAGATAACAGCGCGTTCATACTTCGCGATCGCGCGGTAGGATCGTTCGGCAGGTTCGCACGATCGCGATCTGGACGCGCTCTAAGGGCGTTCATACTTTGCACTAGCGTTTTCAGCGTAGGAAAATACAGGTGTGCATCCAGCGTTTTAAGGGTAGGACAGCGTTTCAAGCGTCCAGTAGCTTTTTGAGCGTGCGCCAGCTCTAGTGTCCCTCAGCGATTCTATAGCTACAAAAGTAGTATGTTCGACTATCGCTGAAGAAGCTAGCAGACGCCCAGAACGCTACTCGACGCTCAAGGCGCTCGAAGCGTTGTTGGACGCTCAAAACGCTCAGAACACTGACAAACGCTCACAAAGCTGCCACGAAGTACAAACGCATTCGAATAGCGCCTCATATCGGCGACTAAACACATTGCCCCTAAATCTTTTGCATATCACACATGAGAGTTTCTTTTGCGAGCTTTATTTCCTAGTTTCAAGTTTAATTCTGCTTTCGACTCAGAGTCTCGTTTTTAGCCTACATACGTGAGGGTTTTTGAGGGGTTTCCCTTGCTGGGGTTGTGAAACCCGGTGTCCCTTTCATTTCTCGCTAAAACTTGTTCAGAGTACTTGTTTTCTTTTCGACTTTTCCGATTCTTGAGCCTGAACGATATGTTGCCGCGTTGCGATAAGTTTCGTTTTTCTTGTGCACATGCCTTGCGGGCACTGCTCATCCCATTGTTGACGCAGTGATATCAGCTGGTGCACCGGCAAAGTTCACGTGCACCAGTTATTTTAAAAATCCTGCTGCATTGATTGGAGCTCTTCGAAAACCATGAAAACACTAAACTACTGCAAGTTCTTGCCGAATTATGGTGGTTTGTCCCTCCTGCGGTGACAATCCCATACAGGTTCCAGTGTTTTTAGAGATGCTTCTAGTAGTTACCCAATTTCAGTCTCGTCCCTTTTTCTTTATAATTGTGCTTTCTTTTAATAGCTCAGTATAGGACAAATTCGTACCTAACCATATTGATTTTTAGGAACTCAAAAGGTGTCATTGCCTATGGATCACACAGCTTGCTGTTTATTGTGGATGCTTTCACTTTTAAACGCGTTCAAACCGTCGACTTACATAGCACTGCCATTGATCATGTTTGTTTCTTACCCATTTGCCTTATTTTTTGTTTTTTTCTAATTCAAAGATATAGAGATATTCTATGGTGTCCTTTTTTCCTTCGGAGGAACTGCATGACTTTCTTTCACAGGTGTGCTGGTCGCCTCCGTTTTCAATCATTGAGCAGACGAGAGTGGATGATCACCGGATTGCATCTTCAGATATTAGTGGCCAGATTATCATTTCGGAGCCAATTTCCGCTTCAAAGAGATGCCAATTTTCCCATGCTACCTCAAATGTTATTAGTAAGTTTTGCTACAGTGTTTCTACTTGTTTTCGTGCCGTTCCGGAACACCTCCTTCTAATTATGTTTCCACTTTACTGTGAATGTTGTCTGTAGACATGAAATGGTTTGTGTGGAAGGATATGAGCCGAGATTTCCTCTTGTCACTGCATTCCGGTGACTGTCTCATTCTTTGGAATACGGAGAACGGAGAAAAAATTTGGTCGGTGACCTTTACAACCCCTCTGTTTTGATATGGCCATTGACCCTTTCAATGCTCGTCATGCTGCTTGTGAGTTCGATTTTTCTCTATAGCTCAGTCATTTTGTCATCAAGCATGTTTTTTTTCAGTTTCTTCACTGGGGTGTAGTGTAATGTTATGTGCCGACATTAACCTCAACAATGCGCCCTCAAACTCCTGTCGGTCGGTTACTTTATGTGACGATCAAGTAAAGTCAGCGTCCAGTATTCAAAGCATATGTTTCCACAAAGCCTATCGCAGCCTTTTATTTGCCGCTAGCCACGGACAGGTACGTGAGTCGGACCGTCTTTTCTCAGGATACAATGCCAGAGAAACTTCCACGTATGGTAACTTTTCCATTCGTCCCATTGCAGGTACACTGCTTGCACACGGAGTTGTTTGCAATACTTTTTACCACTAATATGGAACCAAATCTCATATCGTTGTTGTGCTGCAGCTCTCGCGACGCACTTTTCTCTGTTCATGCCAATGGTAGCGTCTCATTGAGGGTGGGCACGTTTTCATCAAACGACGAGAGAGCTGATGCACAGTTAGGATTGGAAAAGGTGAGTATTTTGTTTGACTCTCGGTAAGACTTATAATGACGTAGTGACTTGTGTCAGGTTGCCGCAGGCGAATTTCAACGACAAGGAGCCCAGCAAAGAGCCGTCGGCGCAGCGCTTTGTCCAGTCACTCAGAACGCCATAGTAGTCTTGTTCAGTAGCGGAAGGCTCGTCTTGTGGCAGTTGGTATGGTTTTTTGCTTGATTCTATAATTTTTCAACATGCCCTTGTCATTCTATGATGAACTTTGTCTGCAACGTTATTTCAGACTTCCGGAGAGTCACCTGTTCTCGAATACCGAGGATCGTTTATTGATGACAACCTAGCATTTAACAAAGAGCTAGACACAACTCCTACAGAATCGCTCGCGTAAGTTCCATTGCTGTGTCCAAAACAAGTAACTAAGTTTCGTACTGTTTATTTGTTTACTGAGTCCATTGTGCCAACTTCGAACTGTGGGTATTATTTTTGGAAGATGGAACATGTTTCGATGAGAATTATGCGGGGCGAGAGAAGCTTTTCAAGATTTCCAGTAATAACATAACTTCAGTAACCACTGATGTGTTAATCAGTCCTGTTTCACAACTTGGCTTACACGTTCTCGCTTGCATCACGCGATAAACTCTATGGAAATTATCACCGACAGAATATCTTCACTCCTAACCTTTGATCCCATCGCTCTTTTGGAATGATCGCTGCATACTACCACTCTTACCCTACCCCCCTCCCCCCTACCCCTCCCTAATCCTCCTATCGCTTGACTCGACTGCATTGTTAGGTGTAAGGTGCCCATAGTTTCAACAGTCGTCGAACGCGTTTGGGTTTACGCAGCATATTTCTAGTGGAATGAATTAAGAATTACTTCTTATCCTCTCTTATCTTTTGGTCATATTACTTTTATCCCGTCACCAATGTCGCAATCACTAAACTTTCACGATTTTGTAGTGTGACAGCTGTATAATCTTGAAGATCAACGACGGCGGCAGCGGTCCTTATCAGCCCTATCAGCTGCTATCTCTTTCTGTCACCAACCGTTGATATCCCCGTCACATCCCCTGTATCAGCTGTCAGAACCAATTTCCTACCGTTGTTGCGACGTGCGCTATAAATAAGGTAGCGCTCGAGTTCTACCGCATCTTTCAGCCCCTATCAGTTGCTACCTCTTTCAACATACAGAAAGAGTAGTTAGTTACAAGATATGATATACTAGAGTATGGGACATGAACACTAGTGTTCATGTCCATACCCTATATCATATCTTGTAACTAACGTCCCACTATTGCTGTGAGCCGCAGCATGAACTTACTGACCCTGCTCTTCTGACACCCCTTATCACAGCTTATCAGTTGGTATCATTTCCTGTCCCACCAATTAAATTCCCCTCATAGTCTCTATTTCACTTCTTAAAACCCAAGTCTCACTGTTACTGGGACGGTCGCCATGAATTTCGTGACATAATCAGTCACACTCAACCGATTATCTATAGTGGGATTATTATATTTCATTCAAGTTTCCAACAAACTGGCTTTCTTGATGCATTATCGTCGGGAGTGTCATGCTTGCGAATGCGACCAATAGACGATTTAGGAAAAGAAGGAGACGACTCTTTAGGTTGGTTTTATGTGCCGTGTTGTCACAGCTTTCTACACATCCAGCAGATTCACGCTTTCCGTTCTTAAGATAAAGCATCATTTGGTTCGGCGCATCTCGTGGCTTTGGGATCGCACTCTGGCGTTTTACATATTGTAGATGTCTTCAGTTGTGAAGTAGTTCGTGAATTCACCGTGCAATCATCTCCAATCAAGTAACGGTTTTATTCGATAGCGTCAAGTGATCTAATAAGCCCATTCTTGCGTTTCAGATCACTCGAATGGGGAGGGACATATGTTGTACTCACCGCCGGTTATAATCACTCATTGAGTACTGCTCAAGTTGTGAGAAATGATATCTTTGCTACGGACATCAGGACAGGTAGAATGAGTTCCACTTTTCAAATTGAGTTTTTTATTGGGGAAGTATCGTAATTGAAGTGACCATTGGTAAAGAAAATCATATCTTGCTACCAACTGTGATGCTTTGCCATTTATGATGCTTGCGTCCAGGTCTTAGAAGCCTCATTTGATTTTTTACATAAATCATCACAGAAATTTTACGCTTTTTCTCCTATGTTCAGCTCATTGCCAGAACCTAGCCATGCTGTGTGCACGTCCTAATCCTCTTTACTCCCAAGTACTCCCTGGGACGGAGTAGGCCTGGCATTTGAACATGGCATAGAATGGGACATTCGTGGGATGTTTCAGTTCGAGACAACTGTCATCTTGTTCTGTGTTGGACAGAGACACGACCACAATTGTGTCAAATGAAAATATCCTTTCAGAAGCACAGCAACCGTCACATTTAGTTGAAGTACACAGCCACACCTACCACATTTCATGAATGCGAGTGAATTCAGGGTCGTGCGAGCAGAAAATGGGTAGTAGAATAGGTGAAGGTCGCTGTAGACACATCACCTCAAAGGCAGAGGAAGGATTCATCAACGGGTTAGCCTCGGACATAAATCCTCCCAGCATAGGCACCTAACCGCTACACTACGCTGCTGCATTCTGTTTTCCTTCTCCAACTTGAGCTTGCTGCCAGACAGTCCTTACATGCTGAGAAATACGTTGGATTGCGCACAGGGGATTGTTTCACTAACTTGGAAAGGAGATTTGAGATCAACGTCCTGAAAATGTTTATTGGCAGATTTCTCTTTAGGAGTTGCCACTTCAACACCAGATTCATCCCCTGCTAACTTAGGATGATTATTTCAGTATAAAGCGTATTCACTGGTAGAACGCCAAGTTAGATGTCGCTTTCAGGGGTGAAACGTCGAATACGTCCCGAAGCTGATGAGTCCCCGGTCACCCTCTTACGGGTTTCATTCTATCAGTAAGTTCTCTTCCGGTATGGCGGAGTTGCTTGTTAGCTGTATTGCTACTATCATAATTTGTTGCAGATGTTACTTGGCCCTCGCTTTTCAACGTGAACCTTTGGAGATATGGGATCTAAAAGGATTACGTCTCCTTCGACGAATGAGCAAGACATGCCCTTTGATAGTGGATATGGTAAGATTATCTGAATGTAGTGTTCGTTTGATAACTGCTGTTTCGCTCCACTCTGCGCGCTTCGAAAGTTGTCACAGGAATAAGAATACAGGATTGCTGAATTATGGGCAAAAGCGAGACCCCCAAACGGGATCAAACCCGCCTCTCCCGCTTACCGAGCAATCCATTATGCCAGCCATTGAACTGAGGGGGTAAAGAGTGGTAAGAACGTAATGGATACGCAACCGCCCGTTGAGCGAGAGGTGCGGGCTCGAGGCCCGGGCTCTGTCTTTTGCCCATGAATAAGCAATCCTATGATACCATGCAGTTTGCTTCGTACTAACTTGATGGAATTTGACTTGATTTTTTTGGATTTCTCATGGTGTATGGCCTAAAATTTGGATCATACTTGGTCATAATTGGGTCATACTTATCTGAACCCACTTTAATTTTCGTTCCATGGCGTTTCTCCGACTATGGGACAAGAATGGAATCAGACTTTCCTTCCAGTGTCTGAATGAGTGTGGTTGCGAGTCGGTGTTTCTACGTTAGCGATCCTTGGTGAAAAAGCAATTTAAGGCGTGGTCATGCAAGCATCATGGAATAAAAACAACTGAAGACGGTGGCCTGAGCGTATACCGCGAAAATTTAGTGGTGCTTGATTCAGGTCAGCTTTTTGTCCCCAACTAAAGTCGTTTTCTAGATGTATTTTTGCTTCTTTTGTGTTTCAAATATTTCTACTGTTTGCTTTCTTTCACTTGTAGTATTTCAGAGTTTTCATTTTTGTAATAAGACGTGAACTTTCTTTCCAATTGTTCCCATAAGATTATCGTTATTTTAAATGAGTTCCTGAAAATGGCTTGCTTCAGAGAATCGCCTCTACCACGTGGTTGTCAAGGGATTGCATGTGAAAGATGGCAAAGAAGTGAACACTCAGGTAAAAAATTACGATTGTTGGATGGTTTCATCTGCTTTAGAGTGGTAACGCTTTTACTAACAAATGGTGTTTTTGCATTAACTTTACAGTATTTTGCTGCAAACGACCCGTATTCGGTAGCGTCTACATTAGGTCAAGTATTGGTGGGTGTATGTATTTTTGTGTGCAATAAAGCTTAAGAATTGAGTTGGGGTTCATCAAAAGAGTACTATCGGAGAAAGGTATTCTTTAAAAGGGTAAGTTTGCTTTGTCCTGGGAATGGTTTGAGTTGAAAGCCGTCTCGTTTTTCGTCTGATGATCATATTATTGCAGTGGAAAAGTGGTGGTTGGTCAATTCGAACAATGGCATGGAAAGACGATATGCTGTCTATGGGAGATGCGGAAGGACGTGTAGTAGTGAGTAGATCGCTTCACTTGTTTTTTTTTCAATTTTTGTATGAACAGCACTGTATTTTGTATGTCAATAGATATGGGATCTTGGCCGCCGTCAGTCGCGCCATGTTCGAGCGTCTCGGTTTCCCGTGGTACGAATGACATTTTCCCGTTTGGCTGGAGACCACACACTAGCTGTTTTACATCAACGGTTCCTCTTTTATTTATCTCAAAGTCGTTGATGGTGACTGCAGAAAGCGATTAGTTCCTTCCCATAGCGATTTTTTTCAGGGAGTTATCCTTGTGGGATACGGAGGCTTTAACTCGACAGCATCAGATAACATTAGATTCGTCTCAGTCTGCTCTGGACATGGATTTATGTGGTGTGTCGCCTCTGCTACTTACAAATGACAATGTACTGAGGTACGCTCCTGGATCATCGAAGAACTCCCCAATGCTGGAAAAAGGTAAATTTTCTAATTTTTTCCTGTACTGAAATTTTTCCTATGCCTTATTTAAGCGTTTATCGCTCTGAAATTGGGTCTCAGGGGGTGGTCTGAAGCTGTAAAAATCAGTGTGATGTAAGGGGGTACGGTTCCCTGTTTCTTCGAATCTGGAACTGTATGATCTGAAATCTTTCTACGGATCTGTGAATCTTTCTGTCTTCTGGTAGCAGTTATGTTTTTGAAGGCTCTATCAGGTTTTATTTCTAGTACTGAAATGTGAGATATTGAGTGTAGAGTCTTCCTATTGTAGTACTTGTGCTCACACATGCTTTTTTTGAACAGTCTCGGGGGGGGGGACAGAGGGCGAGGGGAGGAGGGCTAGGTTTTGCGTGGCGCGGCGCCAGTCCAGCCTCCCCCCTGACACGCCCCAGCATCCATAGCGAACAAGACTGTACTCATTTCGTTTATTGCAGACATTCCGTTGCTGTTTAATCCCAAGAAAGTTGCTCACCTCCGGAATGAATTTGAACTATCATCGAGTGAGAATGCAGCGCTTTCGAAAAATATACAGAAGAAGGTAAGTTACGAACTTCCTGTTCTTCCTCTATTTTGTTCCTAGTTAAAATATTAGATGCGCCGTATGCCATTCCCTTGAAGGTGTCTTCGGTTTCTACTGTGGGGTCAGGAGATGTGGTGGATCTGTCAGGATTGAAGAATCAAATGCAGTGGAGCCGATTTCTCGGCGATGTTGCCGTTTACAATCTACTCGCAATCGCATGCTCATCGTTATCGACGGAAGACGAGATTCAGCTTCCACCAGATTTGCAGATGTTCTGGCCAAGTCCTTCTTTTCGGGTGAGGAGGATCTGAACTTCAAGTTTCTCGTTAAAGTCATCTATAATATCATTTCTTATTATCCTTTTTTGATACGACAGAAACCCAGCGCCATTTATACCAATGTTGGTGTTAGGTTCCCCTAACAACAACAATTCAACAGTATAAGAACTTATTTTGTCATAGTGAAACAAGTTCTGGTACCACAATTATTCCAATTCTCATCAGTGATTGCTTTGATTCACTGAAACGATTTCTCAGAAATCCAGAAATCTGATCGTTCATAAGTTTCTGTGCATGAGAAGGTAGCGCTCGTTCGTGTGGATGTTGAGGCATGTCAGAAGCTGGGTTTGGCATGGCGCCAACCCGTTTTCCACCAATTCTTGTCGCCTGTGCTCTCCAACAAGTGGCGGATAGCGGGCTGGTGCCGCATCAAACACAGCCTGCTCTCAAGGTACAGCATCGTTGTGTGGAACACATGAGGGGGTCCTACTTGGCCGCTGGGGGGGGGGTCGTATTTGGTCGTTGTTGGGAAAGGTGGGGGGGTCTAGTGTGCTTTTGAGAGGAGTTCGAGAGGAAAAAACTCCCCCCCCATCCTCGAAGAAATTTTGGGTGATACTGAAAAATGGGGAATTTTCAAAAGTGGCTAGGAGCTGGGACTTTGTGGGGGGGGTGGGTTGCATCGAGATTCTCTCTAGGTGGCCGGTCGTACCGAGACTCTCTCTCGCGTGAGGGCGGGGCGGAGGGGTCTCGTGACTCACCTTTCGACACGTCGCACGATGCTGTTACTGCTGTCCCCTTCCTATTTTCCTTCCTCCTTTCCCGGTACGCATCTCCAGCATCGGTTCGGACAATTATTGGTGTGAAACAGTATTCTAAAAGTCAGAAAACTGGTGATAAATTCATTGAATTCGTCATGGGCTCAATATCCATTTGTCACAGGAACGAGAGCTAAGAGTGACATGCGCTGCATGTGGAGCTACAAATGTTGAAGAAAGCCGATTGGTAGAAAGGGCTGTGGTTGCAGGCGGAAAGGCAAAGGTGTGTATTTCGAAACCTTTACGCGTAAAGGTTTCGAAATGACACCTTTGCCTTTCCGCCTGCAACCACAGCCCTTTCTACCAATCGGCTCTCTTCAACATTTGTAGCTCCACATGCGGCGCATGTCACTCTTAGCTCTCGTTCCTGTGACAAATGGATATTGAGCCCATGACGAATTCAATGAATTTATCACCAGTTTTCTGAGTTTTTAGAGATACTTGGTTTCACACAATTTTGTTCGCAACCGATGCTGAGGCGTATCGGGGAAAGGAGGAAGGAGAAGGAGGAGGAGGAGGCAGCGTAAAGCATCGTGACGTGTGAAATGGTGTGTCAGTAGAGAACCCCTCCGCCCCCCCCTCACGCGAGAGAGAGTCTCGTACGACGCCACCTAGAGAGGATCTCGATGCACCCCCCCCCCCCCCCAAAGTTCCCAGCTTCCTACCACTTTTTTGAAATTTCCCCCATTTTTCAGTATTCACCCAAAAATTTTCCTTCGAGGATGGGAGGGAGAGTTTTTTCCCGCTCCTCGGACTCCTCTCAAAAGCACACTAAGATGCCGCCACCTTTCCAACATGACGACCATAATACGACCCGCCCGCCCCGGCGGCCAAGTAGGAGCCCCGCACATCATGAGTTCCACACAACGATGACGACCTTGAGAGGAGGCCTGTGTTTGGATGCGGCACCAGCCCCGCTATCCGCCAGCTTGTTGGATACACAGCTAATAGAGAGCGACCAGAATTCAGTTGAAAACGGGTTGGCGCCATGCCAAACCCAGCTTCTGACATGCCTCAACATCCACACGAACGAGCGCTACCTTTCTCATGCACAGAAACTTATGAACGATCAGATTTCTGGATTTCTGAGAAATCGTTTCAGTGAATCAAAGCAATCACTGATGAGAATTGGAATAATTGTGGTACCAGAACTTGTTTCACTATGACAAAATAAGTTCTTATACTGTTGAATTGTTGTTGTTAGGGGAACCTAACACCAACATTGGTATAAATGGCGCTGGGTTTCTGTCGTATCAAAAAAGGATAATAAGAAATGATATTATAGATGACTTTAACGAGAAACTTGAAGTTCAGATCCTCCTCACCCGAAAAGAAGGACTTGGCCAGAACATCTGCAAATCTGGTGGAAGCTGAATCTCGTCTTCCGTCGATAACGATGAGCATGCGATTGCGAGTAGATTGTAAACGGCAACATCGCCGAGAAATCGGCTCCACTGCATTTGATTCTTCAATCCTGACAGATCCACCACATCTCCTGACCCCA